ACTACTACTACTACTACTGCTACTACGACTACGACTACGACGACGACTGCGACTATTACTACGGCTACTACTACTACTACTGCTACTACTACTGCTACTACTGCTACTACTACTACTAATACGACTACTGCTACTACTACTACGTTTACTATTACTACTACTACTACTACTACTACTAGTACTAGTACTAGTACTACTACTACTACTACAACTACTACTAGTACTAGCACTAGTACTACTACTACTTCTACTACTACTACTACTACTACTACTACGACTACTTCCATTACTAGTCCTACTAATACCACAGCTACTACTTACTACTGCTACGACTACTGCTACGACTACGACTACGACTACGACTACTACTACTACCACTACTACTACTACTACTACTACTACTACTACTACTACTACTATACTACTACTACTACTACTACTACGACTATTACTACCAGTACTGCTACTGCTACTGCTACTGCTACTGCGACTACTACTAGTTCTATTGCTAGCATTCCCAAACACATTACTACATCTACCAGTACTACCACTGCTACTACCTCCACTACTAGTACTACTGCTACTATTACGACTACTATTACTACTAGTACTGCTACTACTACTACTACTACTACTACCATACTACTACTACTACTACTACTACTACTACTACTACTACTAGTAGTACTACTACTGCCATTACTATTGTTGCTACTACTACTACTACTACTACTACTACTACTACTACTACTACTACTACCTCTATTACTACTACTATTACTACTGCTACTACTACTACTGCTAGGACTACTACTATCACTACTACTACCATTACTGCTGAGGCTGCTTCTACTGCTACTACCACCACTACTACTGCTACTACTACGACTGCTACTGCTACTAGTTCTACTGATGCTACTACCACCGCTACTACCACTACTATTTCGACTGCTGTTCCCCGGCTATTGCCAACACGCTTGTGTTACTATTACCACTTCTACTACTACCACGGTTTCCAATTCGTTCTATGCTACTCGTACTCGTACTACTAGTATTGCTACTGCTACTGCTACTACTACTTCTACTACTACTCCTCTTATTACTACGGCTACTGCTGCTATTATTTCTCCTTATATTCGAATTCCAATCGGGATCTCGCATATTCGGATTCCAAGAGGAATTTCGCTCATTCGGATTCAAATCGGAATTCCGTATATTCGGGTTCCAATAGGAATCCTTTATGTTCGGATTTCCAATCAGAAATCCCTATATTCGGATTCCAAGGGGGATTCCTTATAGTCGGAGACGAACAGGAATTCCGTAGATTCGGATGTCAAATTCGGAATTTCCTAGAGTCGGCTTCCAATAGGAATTCCCCAGGTTCGGATTCCAATCTGAATTTCTCATATTTTGATTCCAATAGGAATCCCCTTACATCTGGATTGCAATAAGAACCATTGATATACGGATCCGAACAGGGATTTCACATATTTTGGCTCCACTTCGGTATTCTTTATATACGGATTCACATAGGAATTCCCTAAATTCGGATTACAGTTTGAATTCCACATGTTCGGGTTACACTCGGAGTTTCTTATATTTGGATTTAAAATGCCAGTCGCAATTCCATATATTTGGATTGCAGCACGAATCCCTGATATTCGGGTTCCAACACGGAATGCCCCATATTTGGATTTCAGTAGGGATTTCTTCTATTCGGATTCCAATTGGAATTTTCTAGGTTTGGATTCCAACCGGAATTTCCATATTCGGGGTTCCAATGTGAATTTCTTACCTTCGGACGATTATTACTACTACTACTACCATTATTTTGATTACTACTACTACTGCCACTACTACTACTACTACTACTACTACTACTACTACTACTACTACTACTACTACCACTACTACTACTACTACTACTACTACTACTACTACTGCTACTACTGCTACTACTACTACTACTACTATTATTACGACGACGACGACTACTACTACTACTACTACTACTACTACCACCACCGACTGCTACTACGACTACTTCTGCGACTAATACTACTACTACTACTACTACTACTACTACTACTACTACTACTACCCCTACTACTACTACTACTACTACTACTACTACTACTACTACTACTACTACTACTACTACTACTGCGACTACTACGATCCAGTTAAAGACGCGCGAAATCCCAACCGCAATAGTTCACGCGTGAACCTGTTCCTATAAGGTATCCATTGTGGTTTCATATTGCAGTACACAAATATGAGAACACTTCAATATTTTTCTTCATTGACTTCCTTTTCGGTTGTGATCTGACCGTGCCTGGTGGTTCGACGGTTGTGATCTGACCCGTCCGGTTGTGATCGCATGCGACCGGTTGTCATCTGAACCCATCGCGGGCCGCTCTACCTTGTCATTTACGCAGTGCCCGCGCCCCCAGGGGCAGGATCCCTGACAAAAGAAAGCTGAGTCCGCGCTCCCAGGGCCACGATCCATTGTAAATTGCACTGCGTCCTCGCTGCCAGGGCCACGACCCCTGGTAAATTACGCTTCGCCCGTTCTTCCTGGGCCACGGTCCCTGGTACATTACGTTGCGTCCGCGCTCCCAGGGCCAGGATCCATTGTGAATTACGTTGTGTCTGCGCTCCCAGGCCCACGTTCCCTTATAAATTACGTTGCGCTCCTGCTCCCAGAACCGCTTGGGCATCCTGGGGCGCCCAGGCCGTTCAAGTTCTGCACAACAAACTTTTCGCATGAGGCTTCTCCAGATGTTCGGCGCGCAGGGCGCGCCATCCTCGAGCGGGCACGCAATGTTTTTGCTCCATTTTCTGGCAAGTCTTAAGGCATCCAAGCCTAGTGTTTTTTTTTCGCGGATCCTACACAAAACGTTCCGCATCCTTGTTACATGGGAAACCATGTGTCTGCGGACCCGGGTTTTTCGAGGATCCGAGATGGGGGGGGCACATTTTTTTCGAGCCGACACGCGCGAAACGCATTTTATTCAACAAGAAAACATTACATGTTTCATTGTTTTCATATCGCGAATAAGTCCGCTGGCCCTCTTCTAATCGAAACCAGGGATACCATCTAAGGGGGAGCTCTGTGCCCGAGCCCTTTCCTGGAAGAACGCCACTGCGTGCCGAAAGGCACGTTGGCGGATTGTCGACGGGGCTCCGAATTTGGTGTTTCGTTTTCCGCCCAAAACCATTGAAAAGACGGAGTCGTGGTTTCGCAGCAGGGGGGTGGAACTTGTTCTCGACGAGCCCCTGGAGAAGTGGGACACGGGCAGCTGTACGTTCCGGTCGGGGCGCGTTATCGAAGCAGACTTAGTGTACGTATGCCTCGGCATGCAGTGCAACACTGAGTGCGTCGCGAAGGGCGACCTGGCCAACTCTTTGAGCACGCGCAACGAGGTCCAGGTGAACGAGTTTTTCCAGGTCAATGGGCACAGCAACATCTTTGCAGTGGGAGATGCAATGTCGCACCCCAGCCGAGAGATCAAACAGGCGTACTACGCAGAGATGAATGGCTGCTGCGCGGCAAAAAATGTCATCCGCCATGCGCAGGGTGAGGCGTTATTGAACTACCCTGAGGCCATCGCCGGGGCACCAGCGAGCCCGCTCGTGTACGTGGTCAGCCTTGGTAGGTACGATGGGTCCCTGGGTTTCAACAGCCTGGTGGTCAACGGCGCCGTGGCGGCCCTGGTAAAGTGGATCCTCGAGTGGACGAAGGTGGCACAGGTCGAGGGTCGCCCCATCGGCACCTTTGTTTGGGCCATTGCCGACGCCATCACATTCTGGCTGTCGCGCAAGGTGCTGCCGCCCGACAAGGACAAGTAAGTGACGATAGCGACAGTGAATGCAAGTGAACTTCTCTGCCAAGCCGAGCACCGGAGGCTCTTGCTCGGGGTTGCCTGCCGCAACGCTGCTGGTGCTTACAGTAGGCTCACAGTGGCCGTACTGTGGCTTCCGTGCGCTGCTGTTTTTCGTTCCCGTCTGTGTTGCGGAGCACGCGGAGCCGCCGCTGCGATGTCTGTGCCGACGTTGATTGCGTGCCAAGTGCAGGCCGCATGCTGCGTGCGTATCACAATCTTGAGCGGAAGCTGGGGGATCAAGCCAGTCGGAGAGTGGAGGGAGAGGGGCGGATGATCGGTCGAGAATGAGCCCTGTGTTCTGTGTCCTCAGTATTCTTCCACTTGTTAATTGAATCGCTTCGCTCATTCCGCCGGCCCGTGATATGGCATCGCTGGTTTTTGTCTGTGTGTTCGTTGCCCATGTTGCGCTCTTGGGGGCGGGTGTCGTTCGGACGCGTTGCGTGGGGAGTTTTGATGGTGAAGCAGTTCCCTGGGGGTCGTCTCTCGATGGGGCGAAATAGAGTCGTCGTCAAGATGCTTCTTTGGGGGGCCTCTTGGGGTCTGTTGAGAGGCCGTTCGGGGGCGCCTGGGAGACATGTTTGAAGCCTTCTGGGGCTTCTTTTGGGCCTCCTGGGAGTCTCCTGGGGCCTCTTGGCGACATCTTGGGGCCTCTTGGAGGCCTCTTGGGGCCTCTTTGGGACCTCCTGGGCGCCTTCTGGGACGGAGGGCTCCATTTTTGAGTTCTCGGTATCCCTCCTGAGTCCCTCTTGGGCCCGTCTTGGGGCCTCTTGGTCCGTCTTGGGCGGCACTTGGGCCGTCTTGAGGGCTCTCTTGGGTCGTTTCGGCGCCGTCTTGGGAGCTTCGTGGGCCGTCTTGGAGCGGTCTTGGGGGCCTCTTGGGCCGTCTTGGAGCGTCCGGAAGCCGAAAAAGCCAGAACACAATGGTTTGTGCTTGCACGTGAAGGAAGTCTCGAGTTGTTGTCTGTTTGTCGCCCATTGGCTTCACAGAGCATGAGTCGCCTCTCGATGATGATGCAACCCTGCCGTGGTAGATCATGTTTTTGGCGAGCTTCCTCTTGCCTCTGTTGCCGTCTGGCTCTATTTTCCTACTTTGAGCTTCTCTGGTCCAGAGTCGATGGACGCGGTCGCCATCCCTGGCGGGGCGGCCGCGTTGCCGGCCTGGGTGGTGCTGGCGCTGGAGGCCGCGGCTTTCTTTGTGCCAGGCTGGGGCCCAGGGCAGGCGGCCTGCCCAGACCTCTCGTGCCCTGCCTGCCCAGCGTGCCCAGAGGCGGCGGCGTGCGCGGCCTGCCCGCAGGCCGCGGCCTGCCCGGCTTGCGAGCCGCCTCCCTGCGCGGCTTGCCCGGCCTGCGAGCCGCCGCCGTGCGCGGCCTGCCCGGCCTGCGAGGCGAGGGCGTGCCCGGAGGCGTCGGCTGGCGAGAAGGCGGCTGAGAAACTCGCTGGAGCGCTGCTTGGAGGCCTGGTGCACTGGCTGGTGTCGAAGGTGGTCGCTCACAGGCATGGCGTCGCTCGTGGGGTGGCTCCGCGGCGGCGCGGGGCGGGAGTGGTGGACTAGAGCGCTCCCAGGGGAGCACGTGGTCTGCCGTTTCGCCGACGACGACGTCGACCACGAACGGGTGCTGCTGCACTACGTGGCGGAAGGCGAGTGGGTCGTCCTGACCCCAGATGGCGACATCTACGCTGAGGACATGAGCTGTGGGGACCACGAGACTGGGCCTGCCCGAGCCTTCCCGCTGGCACTGCGGACGCGCAAAATGCGGAGGCTGTATCGATTCCGTGAGGAGCTGGGGCCCGACGAGCTGGCCGACGCGTTGACGCGGGGCCGTCAGGCGGCGCTGGAGATGGACGCTGCCTTGCCTGAGCCGAGGGAGGCCGTGGCCGTGGGCGGCCAGCGGGTCACCTGGCAGGAGGCTGCTGGTAAGCTGTCGGCCGCGGAGCGGGCCGGCCTGCTGCGCCTGGGCATGGCCGTGGCTCGGCTGGGCGGGAAGCTGCTGGAGGCTCCTGGTGCGGGTCAGGCCTGGATCGCCCTCAGCGGCGGACCCGGCGTTGCGATCGGAACGGAGGTCGACGTGGCGAACATCGAGGGCCTGAGCTTCGAGGGCGGGCCCGAGCCGTTCGGTGTGCTGAGGGCCGCCGACGGCGGCATAGTGCGTCTCGCCCGGCTAGACGCAGGGTCGGCCCCTGGGCGCGTGGCCGAGGAGGCCGCAGTCTGGCATGGCCTGGACAGAGGCCAAGCGCGCGCCCTGGGCCCCGAGCGCCGACGTGCTGCAGCCGCGGCGCCGCTCGAGGATGAGGGGCCCGCCGGGCCCATAGGCGGCGCGGCTACGCCCGAGCTGGCGCTGCCGCCCTTGGCGGAGCCGCTGGGCGAGGAGCGTGACGCCGACGCCCGCGCGCTCTGGGTCGACTACGACGAGCAGGGCGAGCGGTTCAAGCGATGGCGGGACGTGGTAGGCGAGTCGAGGCAGGAGCGCTACCCAGACGCGAGCTGAGGACTATCGTGGAGGCCTTGTACCAGGGCGGGGTATATGACCAGTTGAACATGGGCGGCCTGATGATGGTGGAGGTGTTGACACGCCGCGCGGCCGCAGTGGTGGATGCCTATGCGGACCCGTCCAAGCCGAGCTGGACGAACGCGCGCTTCTTCGAGGGCGTGAGCTCGGTGGAGGACGTCTCAGGGCCAGAGCTCAGGGGCTACGTCCACCGGCGGGCGAAGGAGCAGCACGAGATGGAGCAGGCGCAGAATCGGGCGCGTACGCTACGCGGGGCGCCTTCAGAGACAGTCGACGGAGCAGAAGGAGCTGGAGGTTACGCAGCGGGTGCGGGGCGCGGTGGCGGCCGAGGCGGCCGCGGGCGCGGCCGGGCCAGGGGCGTCGCCTCCACGGGGCCATGACGGCCCCCGGGCCCGGGGGCTTCAGCCCCTCCCCCGGGCCCTTTTTGCCGGGGCACGACGGTGGCCGCTTGCCGCCCTCGCGAGGAGCCCGCAGCATCCTGCCGCTCCCGCTGCTGGGCGACGCAGGCCGCCGAATTCGCGGCAGGTCTAGCAGGGCGAGGCAGTTCGGTCGTGAGTCTCGGATTGCGTTGGAGGTCAACGGGATGATCGACGCCATCAACTGGATGTCGGGGTACGACTCGCAACCTGGCCCAGCCAATGACATGCAGCGGGATGTACTTGCGCGCTTCGAGGGCCTCGTTCGGGGCCGGCAGCCGGGCGCCAAGTTGCAGGAGCCGCAGGCGGCCCTCCGGGAGCTGCTGCGGGGCCGCTCGCCACATGACGGGCGCGGCGGCCTCACGACGGTCGCCTCCTACAGTGCAGGGCTCGTCAGCATGCCGACGGACGTGAGCGACTGCCCGCGTCTTGAGGACCTCTTGCTTGGCGAGGCCCTTACCTTCCTGCGGGATCGCCAAGAGCGCATGCTACGAGAGTCACCTTTGCCGACCGACGTCGAGCCGTACTTCGACTCGGTCCTGAAGTTCAACCACAAGGAGTACCGCGGCCTGGTGCGTCGGCTGCTGTCAGCTGGCATTCTGGGGTGGACTCTGACACCGAAAGAGAGAATTGGGATGTTCTTTGTGTGGAAGGATGGGCGGCGCCGGCTTCGCCTCATAGTCGACGCCCGCCGTGCGAACGCCCACTTCAGGGATCCTCCTGGGGTGGAGCTATTGAGCAGCGAGGGCCTCGCCAGAGTCGAGGTGCACATGCCAGGCGCGGGCTTCTCGAGTTACGAGGACCTCCGCGCCGCGCTGGAGGCGCAGCAGGTGTACATCGGCATGGCGGACGTGAAGGACTGCTTTCATCGAATGCGGATCGATTCAGCCCTCTCGCAATACTTCTGCCTGTTGCCTGTCAAGGCTGGGGCTTTCGGCGTGACCGAGGTCGAGGGGGCCGAGGTGCAGACGTCGACGGCCATCTACCCTTGCTGGCAGGTCCTGCCCATGGGCTTCAGCTGGTCTCTCTACTTCGCCCAGCGGGCCAACGAGGAGGTAAGCCGCCGCAGCAGCGCGCTCCTCAGGGGGCCCAGTCTGTCAGACCATGGGCCACCGCTCGTGTTCGCGCCTGGCAGGGCGCCCCAGGAGGTCAGGCACTGCGTGTACGTCGACAACTTGGGGGTCTTCTCGCTATTCTCTGAGCTCGTGAGCGGCGTGATGAACCAGCTGACGGGCGAGTTCACCAAGCTGAACCTACTGTTGCACAAGGGCGAGCTGGTGCCGGGCATGGCAGTGGCGCTCGGCACGGAGATCGACGGCAGCCAGTTGCGCACTCGAGTGACCAGTGATCGGTTCTGGCGCTGCCGCCAGGCCGTGCGGGGCCTCCTAGCCCGCCGCCGTGTCAAGGGCTGGGCCGTGGAGGCAGTGCTGGGCCACCTAACCTTCTGTGGCCTCTGCTCGCGCGGCACCTTGTCAGCTTTCAATTCAGTGCACGGCTTTGTGCGAGCCCACTATGACGAGGCGGCCGTGCTATGGACCGAGGCGCGGCGAGAGCTGGCCGCCTTCAGCTCCCTGATGTACTTCCTGGAGTCAGATTGGTGGCTGCCTTGGAATCCGATGGTGCAGCAGTCAGATGCCCGTCTTCACGGCTACGGACTGGCAAGGGCTTTCTGGCCGCAGGAGCTGGTGGAGTCAGTCGGGCGCGTGCCTGAGCGGGCCCGCTTTCGCCGGCGCTGCGCGCGCAGTGCTCGAGAGGCTGCGCTCTGTGCAGCTGGCTTCGGTATGAGTGAGAGTGGAAAATGGGAACTCAAGGGCCTTCCCGAAGATGGGGAGGAGCTGGGCCAGTGGGACGTTGTGAGGGACTTCCCGGAGGTGCCCGCCCAGGGGCCCCGCGCAGGCCTGTGGGAGCCCTGTTTCGCGAGAGCCTGGCAGCGCCCTGAGGGCATCTTGACCTTGGAGGCCCGAGCCCTGGTCAGCAGCATCCATCGTATCGCCACCACGGTCTTTGGGTCCCATATACGCCAGTTACTGCTCTGTGACAATATGTCGGTCGTGCTGAGCTTCAATCGGGGAAGGAGCTCGTGTTTCAACTTGTTGGTTCAGATTCGTCGATTTCACGCTGTCTGTCTAAGCCGAAACATTCGTTGTTCGATTCGTTGGATGCCCAGTGAGCTCAACTGTGCCGACCTTCCCTCACGGCTATTTGATCCTGACGGCGCAAAGTCCACCCTTCTGGCTGAGCTGTTGGAACTCGAGAGCTCCCAGGCGCGCCCAGGGCGGGTTCCCGCCTGGGCCGCGCCCGAGCGGGCGGCCGATGGCGCCGGGGCCCGCGATGCTGCCTGCGCGCCCTCCGGCGCCAGACGGGCGGGGCCGCTCTCGGAGCCCCCAGCAGGCCAGGCGAGACGCGAGGCTCGAGACGGGCCGCCGGCGCACGCGGCAGCTGGCGCCGTCTCGCCCGGAGCCTGGCCTGCAGCCGTCAGCCCGCGGCCAGGGGGCGAGGCGCACGCGGCAGCTTGTCCCTGCGCCGCCGATAGCGCCGCAGCCGCTGCCGGCAGCTCGGCGGGAGCGTCAGCTGGGCGAGTCGGGGCTCCTGAAGACGGCTGTGCTGAGCCGTCCCCTGCCGCGGAGCCTGGGGCGAGTGGTGGAGGGCCTGACACAGGTGCCTGTGCCAGCGGAGCCCGCGCGGGGAGCGCGAGAGAGCGTCGGCCCCTCCGACAGCGGGAGCTCCGAGCCCGAGGTCGTGACCGGCGTCGCGCGGCAGCGCAGGCTCGCGCAGTCGCGGAAGCGCCGAGCCCGCCACTACGGGATGCCCACCGGCGAGGAGGGCTTCTCTCTCCTGGAGCGGGAGGCCGTGCGAACCCCGACGCAGCGCGAGTACCAGAGGGCCTGGGACGGATGGCGGGACTTCGCCCGTCGGAGCTGGCCCTCGGTGGACATCGACGAGGTCATGAAGAGCAGGGGCGACTCCGTGGTAGACTCGGCGTTGGTGAGCTACCTGAACGGCTTGTACCAGGCTGGGACTCACCTCTCCTGGGCCGAGAAGTTGATGGCTGGCGTCCTGCACTTCAACCCCGACTTCTCGCGCTACGGTGCCCGGCGCCTCCCCCGGGGCTGGAGATGCCTCCGGGCCTGGCGGCGCCTGGAGCCGCCGCGGACGAGAAAGCCGTGGGCGCTGGCGCTGTGGTGCGCAATGGCGTGGCGCATGAAGGCCCGTGGCAGCCTCCAGATGGCGGTGTTCACTTTGATAGCGGTGAGCGTGCACGCCCGCCCCAGCAGCCTTTTGCTTCTGAAGCCGGCCTGCCTGGTGCCGCCAGCGGCGGGGGTGTGCGAGTTCTGGACCTTGAGGCTGTTCCGGGAGGAGGAGGACCTGCGGGACAAGACGGGCCTGGGGGACGTGTCGCTAGAGTTAGACTCGCCCTGGATTCTCTTCTTGGACCCCGTGCTGCGTCAAATGAAGAAGGAGGGGCACCCCGAGTGCCTGTGGAACTTCACGTACCCAGAGTACTGCAATATGTTCAGCCTATGCCTCCAGGACCTGCAGGTGAAGGCCAAGGTGGTGCCGTATCAGATGCGCCTCTCAGGGGCCTCGATAGACATGGCAAGGAGGTGGAGGCGGCTGGCCGACGTGCAGAAGCGCGGACAGTGGAAGACCAACCGCAGCGTCGTCCGCTACGAGAAGCATGCACGCCTGGCAGCCACGTGGGCGACCTTGAGCAGCGCGCAGCAAAACGTGTTCCTGGTCTGCGAGGCTCAGCTCGCGGACATCATTTTGGGTCGCGCCTCGCCGGTCGACTTGCGGGAGCTCGACCACGCCTGACTGGCCAATACCTGGCCGACTGCTTCAGTGGCAAGGGAGGCGTTGGGCGCGCCGCAATGGCAATGGGCATGCCAGCCAGGTTCTGGGACACGCTGCACGGGCCAGGCGGCGACCTTACCCGACGAAAGGTCTTGCGAGGCTTGTGCTCCGACGTCGCTGCAGGCCGCGTCTTGGCCGTGATGCTGGCACCGCCTTGTGGGCCCTGGACCACCGCTGCCGACCGAGTGGGGGCCATCCGCTTGGCATCGCAGCCCTGGGGACTCCCGCGGCATCTTCTGAGTGCAAAGCAGCTTGCTCGCCTGGCGTCTGGCAATAAGACCATGCGTGCCGCGCTGTCTGTCATCAGATGTTGCGAAAAGTTCAGAGTTCCCTGTATACTCGAGCATCATGTGAGTTCCCGCGTTTTTGTCACGAGAGAGGTTCAGGGGTTTATAGATCGGGGGGCCGTAGTAAGATGTCTCGACCAGTGCCAGGAAGGTGCTCGCTGGCGCAAGCGAACGAGATTCTTGTGTCTGAACATAGATGTCCATGATAGCAGCTGTCTCGGTCGTCGGTGTAACCAGATCAACGGAATCTGTAACAAGTCTGGCCGTCAACACATCGTGCTTGAGGGCAACGCCCCGAATGGTGCGAAATGGACCGCTATCGCTGCTGCCTATCCGCCCGCCCTCTATAGGAAGCTGGCCAGAATTCTTTTGAGCGAGTGGCGCGCGTCCCTGTATAATCGCCCTAGCCCGCCCTCCCAGT